TGCAAGGGGCAGCTCAGAGACAGTGCCCAGACCCTCAGTTCAAGCCCAGGAGCAGCACCAAAAAATAAAAAAAAAAACAATAAGCCTTACGTACAGAATGTATTTTTAAGGAAATGCAGCTTTATTACCTTCAAGTACAAACAATAACTTGCACTTGGCTAACCAAGTATGGCCTGAGGGAACTGGCTTTCATGGTTAGACACAAATGATTTACAACTAGTACAGTCACTCATAGGTAAAAAGATGATTTGGTGATGCATGAAAATAACTTTTCTCATCTCGTAGAGTTCAATAACAAACACTCTACAAGGTGCTTAAGTAATCCTTTCTTTCCCCCATCCCACACAGTTCAAATATAAACTTCACCTCATTCCTTCTAGATCACAACCTACACCAAATTGCTAAGATATAACTTGATGAGTTTTACTGTATTACTTTAGCTGTTGAATGGATAAGAAACCAGCCTTTCAACCTGAGTATTCTCAACAAGAGTACTAAGTTGAAATTTGTGAAATTTGTCATTTACTACATGAATATATGGACATAAAAAAATTATGAGCTTTTGTCATTGGGATCAATGATTTGTCAGGCTTCAATATGCAAAATCGTTTCTATTTGGGCACACTTAAAGAGTAGAAGCAACTGGATTCTGAAAGCTACAATAATTAATCGGGTTTATCCTGGTCAGGACTGAAATAACAAGTGAAGCAACTGAATTCCCCTAGGGAAGAGATGAAACACACAGAAGTGAATGCACAGGGACACCTTGCACTGTGCGTGACATCTCAGCCTGATGAGGCTGAGGAGAATGGTACAAACGACAATACAGCCAAGCCCAGGGCTCACACCTATAATCCTAGCCACTCAGGAGGCTAAGACCTGAGGAGAGCGGTTCAAAGCCAGTCCAAGTAGGAAAGTCCATGAGACTTTCATCATTAATAAACTACAAAAGTAGAGCTGTAGCTTAAGAGATAGAGTTTCTAGCCTTGAGCAAAAGCAGCTCAGGGACAGCACTTCAGTCCTTAGTTCAAGCTGCAGGGACTATGGAAGGGGAGGGGAGGGGAGGGGAGGGGAGGGAAGGGAAGGGGAGGGGAGGGGAGGGAAGGGAAGGGAAGGGAAGGGGCTGAGATCTGAGAAGCAAGGTTCAACACCAGCCTGGGGAACAAGTCCGTGAGACTCCAATTTGTTACTCAAAAAGCCAGAAGTGGAGCTGTGGCTCAAGTGGCAGAGTGCTAGTCTTGAGCTAAGAGCTCAGGGAGAGTGCCCTGTGTTTAAGCCCTAGGACCAGCAGCAAACAAAATGAAAAAAAGTTGTGCTCCATCATTCCTAGCTGCTTCGGTTAACTCTAGAATGCCTAACATAGACATTAAAACCTCTCAATGTCTACAATCACACTGTTTCCAGTGGTATTTTCTTTTCCCCCTTATTAATATACAATAGTAATCATTCTCCTGTTAGTAAATATTAGAATGATTATATGACCTTCAAATTTTACAAGGTAGTGAGTACATTTATTTTTAATAGTGCTGGTACTGGGGCTTGAACTCAAAGCTTCTCATGTTCTTATTTGGCTTTTTCACTCAAGGCTGGTGCTCTACCACTTGAATTATACTTCTGCTTCTGGCATTTTGTGATTATTGGCAACACAAGTCTCAGTAAGAGTCTCATGGACTTCTCTGCTCAGATTCAGACTACTAAGTAGCTAGGATTACAGACATGAGCACTAGTACCTGGCTTGGACCAGTATTTAAACCGAAAAATAAAATGAAACCTTAGAATTTCATAGTTTACTTTAATCCCCATTATTGAGATACAATTTGAGAAGTTATCCAAATACAAAAATCTTCCTGTGGAATGTTTTCAAAGCCAAGTCCTTCCACCAGTAGGTCTTTCTTTCTATTTCTCTGATAGATCTAAAGAATCGGGTTAGAGCCAGAATTGACAATGCTCACTACTCCAAATAATGGAGCTGGAGGAATGTGAACAAAGTTTATTGAAAGGCTCCCACTCACTCTGCTCTCCTGCAGTCCTGTCCTGCCCTTGAACCTGAAGTTGTTCCTGCACCCTTCATAGAGAGGAAAAAAAGCCCTTTCTCTTGCCACAGAGTTGTGAGGTCACCCAAGAAATTCAATCTTCAGAACTACAGGTGGAGTCTATCTGCTCATAACTTCAGAGAATTATCCAGCAACAATATTCACCAAAGCAGCGAAGTCAGTTTCCTTGTGTGTGAGCTGAGGAAACCGAGTGTGTACACATGACACACGACAGCCCCTAACGTAATGAAAGGAGCCAAAGGACACAGCTTTAGCTTCCCCTGCCTGCTCCTGAGTTCATCACTTTGCTTTATTTTGTAAGATGAGTTAGCTTCCCAATTTATATAAAAACTGGCAGCTCTATGAGCACATCTGGTATCTATAAACCAATTATGTAAATGCTCAAGTGAAATGAAGGCATCAATGGGGACACATCATGGTTAGGAATCTAACTGTGATTTGCCTCAGTGTTGCTATACAACTCCAGCCATACCACCCTAGTGCTAACCTCTGCACACAAATACACTAAATACTGGGACATGCCTGTTTCAAATTTGCTTGTTTTGTGTTGGTCCTGGGACTTGCTTGAACTCTGGGCTTGAGCACTGTCCCTGAGCTTTGTAAAAAGCTCAAGGATATCACTACCATTTGAGCCACAGCTCCACTTTTGGTTTTGGCAGTTAATTGGAGATAAGAAATCTCCTGGACTTTGCTGTTTGAGCTGGCTTCGAACTGCAATCCTCAGTTCTCAGCATCTTGAGTAGCTAAGATTATAGATGTGAGCCATCAGTGGTACCTGGTTTTAAGTCATTTTTTAATAAAATTTGTCCCACAAATGTTTATAGCAACTTGACCTCTGAAGCTATTGGACATATCTGAAGGTGACATGATATAGAGATCTGTAGTTCCAATTATTCATTCATGCTGAGTGAAAATGAAAAAGTCATTTATCCTCATCCTTGCCCAGTCTCCAGGGGCCCCTAAAAGATTCCATCTGCAACTATGGTTCCATTTCTATAGGGGGGCAAAAAAAAACAAGACAGAGCTCATGAACAAAATTCAATGTGAGATGCATTCAACTCAGATTTAAGGGATGGAGAAAGATAAACATTCTTCTCTCTAATCCCTGTGGAGTTTCAACATGGCTATTAACCAAACCTGTCCTTGAAACTATTCAGTGATTCTTTATTAACTTTATAGCACCCCAAGGTCTATTGCTACAATAAATGCTAATTCAGATTCTGGGAGATCTGGGACTGCAGTCTCAGCTTTGCCAACAAGACTTTGTCCCATCTGTCAAATGATAAGCTTTCTACATGAGGCAGCAAGGAGTAACTTTCCTCTCAGGCAGAGGCTTTCACTGAGGTTCCTTCCAAGTCTCCAAACTACTTTCCTATTGGGTCTGCAAATATGCACCCATCACTCCCATACCACAAAGGAAAGTTTTTATTGCTGCTTCCTCTACTTTCTCCCCAATGTTTATGATACTATGTTGGAACATTTTATCTGCTGAACCACTGAAATGTCTGTCTTTAGAATGAGGGGTGAGCACACAAACTGGCAACATATAGACACATTTTGTTTAGTTCATCTTATTTACTTATTTTGTGCTGGCACTGAGGCATGAGCTCAGGGCTAGGGAGTTCTTCCTTAGCTCTTTTTCTCAAGGCTGGCTCTCTACATTTTGAGCCACATAACCACTTCCAGCTTTCTGCTGATTAACTGACCATAAGAATCTCAAGGATATGTCTATCTGGGTTAGTTTCAAACCATGATTCTCAGATCTCGGCCTTCTTAGTAGCTAGGATTACAGGTATGAGCCAACACCAGCACCAGCAGATTATCTTTAATCAGTTGTCAACATTTTTTAAACCAGGGTACTTTAAATTTCTAACTCCTCCAGAAAAAAAAATCCTATCTATAAACATTAGGCTGTCTGTGCAATGGTAGAACACTAGATGTGAGGAACTGTCCAGCTTCATTACGTGCATGTTCCATGTTTCTACACAATCCCACCCAGCACATTCTGTTCACCTATCATCTGTGACTCGCTCAGGCACTTGAATTTGTATAGTCTAGGATGATTCCTTCATTTTAAAGATATGGAAAATTATATTCTAAGGAGGAAAAGTCAATTTTCCCAAAGACATGGATCAAGTTAGGAGCATAAATGGAAGATAATTCTGATTCAGATACTGTTCCTTCCCAGTCAGCACACAACACAGACTTCTCTCTGCCTCTCCTCCACCAGTTGCTTACAATTTCTAAGCAGAATCGTATAGCAGTTAGATATTATTTCCATCTGCCTAAATTTAAAAAAGAAAAAAGGATACCTAAAATAAATAACTTAATGATACATCACAAGCTCTTAGAAAAACAGTAACAAGGCAAATCCAAAATCAGTAGAAGAAAAAAAAAAAAACCAATACTACTCCAAACTGAAGAAACAGTGCCTCAGGGTTCAAACTAAACTGAAATAACAATGTCTGTGCTCTTTATGGATGCAGAGAAGCAATCTTAGCTGAACATCAGGCTGTACAAGTAAGGAGACAGGCCTGAGGTTGTAGAGTTCCAGGGTAGCACCCAGTCACCCATCTTCCAGCTCACTGCCTTTTCTACTACTCTACTACTCCCTGTCACCTCTGCACAGTCACTCTTGCTTGGGGCCCAGCCTTCCCCACGTAGAACAAAAAGTAGAGAGTCCCCTCATAAATTCGCCATGTCAAACTTGACTCTACCAAGAACTAGTCTAGGATGATCTGCAAGCAGCTGATGGGACTTGATTTGCGCTGGAAGACAGATTTTCTCTAGGACTGGCATTTGGTGGAAAGGTCTGGTAGTAATGAATGTCACAGGATTCAGTGGTCTTTGTAACGCTGGCTCTTAGAAAAGCTAAACCCCATGAGAGAAGCTGCTCTAACAACATCATAGCACCTTCACTTCAACTTTAAATGAAAAGAAAAAGGCTATGGTAAAAAGCTTTAATAGCAGACTCAATGTGATTTTATAGGCAACCAATTAGCAACTTAATGAATCATTTTAACTTTCTTAAAATCAGTATTCCATTCAAGAAAGATGAGTCCCAAATCATCCTTATACTGAGCAACATAACTAAGTACAAATGAAGTCAATGGTGTACCCCATTAGCATGCTGTGTTGTATGTCAATAAAACAAGCCCACCCCCGCCCCAAGCCCTGGCCACTGGCAAACATAGATAAGTGATTGTGCACTGCGTGATGATACCATTGGGTGAGAACTTTGGTTCATGCAGTCGGCCGCCACAGAGGTTGCACTGAAAACCCACTGTCCCGGTACCCAAAGTCAGTCAGTGGTGGCAGCTTGTGGCATTAGCCATGCTCCTTCCACAACACCAGGTGAATACTGTGGTCAGGCATGCTGGTGGCAAAGACCAAGCCTGTGTCATTGTGCCCATCCAGTCCATTCAGCCAGGATGCTTCGCCTGCCAGGAAGCTGGAGCCTCTCTTTGACTTCCTGTACTCTGGCAGAGGCCAGCGGCTAATCAGGCTCTCAGTCCGCAAGTCCATGATGTACAGGTAGCGGTTGTCAAACAGCAGGGCAAAGACGTCTCCAAAGCCAAGCAAGGCCAGGTTTGCTACCTCAGGAGTCTTGATGACCCTACAAGGATGAGAGTTAGGAATCGTAAGGCATGAGGCAACTTTTGTTTCTGTTTCAGGCATAAGTTTCTCTTACAATTGATCATCTGATAAAAAAAATTCTGTGATACTGCCAATAAGGGCAACACTTCTAATAAAACTAAGCAAAGAGTTAAAAACATTAGTCCTCTGCTAGAAAAGGAGACTAAAGCATAAACTCACTTCGCTGGATTAAAAATCGAAGGAACTCTACTCAAAGAGGTAGCCATTTCGAAAATTTCAACAGCACTTACTCAAATCGCTGAATACTTTGTATGATACAAGCCTTCATAAATAGTTCTACAAGATGGGGCTTGATCCCAAGAAAAGCTGTAAATTGTGATTAACATACAAGGCAAAACAGGGGTTCTGATTAGTTTGCTCAAGTAGTTACATAACCAGCAACTCATTTATCATTTCCTACCTAAGATGACTTGCTCATTCACTCAGCAAGTATTCACTGACAACCTAAAGTGTGCTGAACACTGTTAGAACCAGGATTAAGTAGTGAATAAGACAAATTTCTTCACATAAAATCTGTCCCAAACTGAATTTATTAGCCAAACCAACTTCTCTGTTTCCTCACTTGCTAATTCATCCAAACGCTAGTAAACATGGCAACAGTCTAACTATCCTCCTTACTCAAACCACATATTTAATCACCAGACTCTACCTTACTTCTAAACTCTTCTGTCTCTACTAGCACATCTCCGGTCCAAAACACCATCTTTGCCAGCACTACTTTCAACAGCTTCCTATTGGTTTCTCCTCATCTATTCTTAGCTCCTTTAAATCAATTACCTACTAAAATCTGATTCTGTTGTCATCTTGCTTCAATTCTTAATCTGATTGCTTCCAACTGCCCTTCCATCTCCAAGAACACTGATGAATTTCTCAAACAGACCAATCTCCCACATCTATTGCTACATGCCTACCTCTGATACATAAAGTATAAACTATACTTTAGAGCAGCTCCAAGATCTCTTCCTGAAAGCAAACACCATTTTATGTTCCTTTTAGTCCAATCAGTAAACAATTTGTATGTAATTAGCTTTTATATGTATGTATCTTTTTGTGGTGCTGAGAACTGAGTAACAGTCAACAATCATTTCTAGAAATGATTTGGACAGCTCTGAAAACTCATGTGAGCTAGGCACACTATGATTGCAATTTACCTAGCCTCTGTAATTAGCTAGTGAATATCATTTTTCCCTTACTATTCTTATTTCCTTGAGTCCGGTATCTCTTAGGCTTCCCAGTACACAACAAAATGCCCAACACATACATAGATATTCAATGAAAAGAAGTAGTGCAAAAAACACAGATAAATACAGGTAAATGCCTACAAAGAGATTTAAAGGAAACAAAAAACAGCTAGAAAATCTGGTAAGCCTTACATCATCATCATAAAGCTGGAAACTGGGTGAGCCTGGGGACAGTACTTAAGAATAATAAAGATAATGATGCCAAAGACTGAAACATTAATATGTTGCACAAGAACACAGGTCTTGACAGGCTTTCAGGCCTGTTTGTTTTGAACACTTTAGAACTGTAAACAGGCTTCCCTGCTGGCAGTCTGGTTCCTGAACCTAAGTAACCTTGCCTACTGCACTGAGATAACCTAGCTCTAGAGACTGCATCATGTCTTGGACTGATTTGAGTAACATGCTGTCATTTCTTTGTGCTTTGCTTCTTTTCAATTAGCTTCAAAGCTTAAATGGCCCTGTGAGGTCCTAGCAACTCAGGCCACAGGATTTGTAGGGCTTCAAAAGAGGTTAGTTTATTTGTGTTTGGAGGCTGAGATGAAATAGCCTCTTTATCAATGAAAACTCTGAACCTAACCCTTCCTATCAGTAATAGTCCTGAAGGTTCTTCTTTTTTTTTTTTTTTAAGATAGTATATTCAAACACTAAAAAAAACAAGAGAACATTCTAGGACTCTTCAGATGCCATTCTGAGTAGGGGGACATATAAGAGACAGGAAAACACAAGATCAAATAGAACCCTTATCAACTACTAAGCATTGATATCACCATACCACCTTACCTGAAAGTTTTTATTCAAAATAAAAGCTAAATTCATTTGGAAAAGATACAGCTTTCCTAAGGTGACTAATGGAATGTTTCCCTTTGGAAAAAAGTTCCAGCAAAAGAATTTTTGATGCCTCCTAGCTTTGTGGATCATTAAGTATTAGATAAGTCTGCCAAGGATGGATGAATGTTGGTGTAGGACATTGGAAATCTGTGCAAAATTACTATCAGAATTACTATTTCCCCATTTACAAGTGGAGAGTTTAGAGTATTTTGGAGTGAGTTTCAACCAGTTTTTACTCAAAGCATAATCAATAACCACTTCTAGAAGAATTCTCACAGCTCTGAAAATATCAGAAATGTTGGTCTGAGGAACAGGAAGAAATAAATGAGGTTGTAACTTTGTGACCAGAGAGACATGGCCCAGCTAGGTCCTTCTGGGTAGTATAATCGCACTTCACGCAAGCTGACCTCAAATAGATTGTCATGCATAAAAACAATGAAAAGAATGTTCAATGTTCCCCACTCCTCAAGGTCAGCATTTCCTGAATCATGCTGTGGAACATTAACACTGTGAATTGTTAACAGGGGAATTCACCACAAGTATGAAGTACAAGAGGTAAAATATAAACAGGTTTCTAGCTTTTGGGGGGGAGGAAGGGGGGAAGCAGTACTTAGGGCCTACCAAGTACTCTGCCATTTGTGCTACATTTTCAGCCCCTCCTGATATTTAGGTAGGTTTATGTGGTTTTGACTACTCTGGCTTGGATGTTGATCCTTCTACCTATGGGCTCCCAAGTAGCGAGGACCATTTGTGCAAGCTAAATCTGGTTTATTGTCTGAGGTGGGTAGGGTCTCATTGATTTTTTTGCCTAAGCTAGCCTCAACTGACTATCTTCTCAAATGCCAGATCCCTTGTAGCTGGGATTATAGGTATAAACCACCACATTCAGCCTCAAATGTAGGGTTTCACAGTTAGTAACAGAGATTTGCTAATTCCAGTACTAGGTCTTTACCACAGGCATTTTATTTAAATCTCACTTTGTAAATTAAAAAAAACAAATTGAGGCACAGAGGAAATGAAAAATGTACACAAAGTCATACAGATCACAGTCTATTTTCTGCACAGGGAGCAGGAAATGTTTCTCTTTCTATTTCTCCCTACTTTTAACCCTGTTATAGTAAAATAAATCCTTGCTAAAACTTTCACCAGTGAGACTCTCCTTTTTGTGAAACAGCCTGAAATTCTTTTCATGTGTAGATTAGATCTGAAGGACCTGAGATTTTTCCCTAGGAACTGGAAAGCTGAAGGTCGTCTCCTTCGTTCTCCAGTGACAGGAATAGGCAAGCCTGAGAACCAGGAGTTAAATCTCACAAGGCAAAAAGAAAATGAAGATGGGAGGGTGGTAGAAGAAAGTAACAATTAGAGATTTGAAAATAAAAAACAAGAAAAGAAAATGAAGATAGGAACCAGTTAGAATTTCTTGTGATTCTCCATTAAGAAGAACTTTAAAGAATAAGAAATATTAGATTAACTAATAAAGTTACTATTGCAGCCAATATGACCTCAATATAAGTTAACAAAATTTTGTATAAGTTTTGTTATAAATGGGAGTTTTTATTTTCATACTAGTCTCTAACTACATTTATTTTGCAAAAGGGAGGGAAAATGAATGAAATTCTCTATGTACAGATTTTTCGGATGGCCATTATGTCTCATTGTAGAGAAAAACTAGCATTTTCTAAGGATTCTGGGAAATTTCTCCATGAATCTAAACTATCTACAACTTTAAACTACCAAGTAGTTAGGTGATTGTAACCATTACTTTTGACCTAATTTAAAAGGACTTATAAGTTCTACCTTCAGTCTGGTGCATTCCTGAAGAGAAGCAAATGTTTGGATGGCAGCTCGGACTGATGCTGATGACGTCCATTTCACTGATACAACTAAATCAATGGGAAATGCTACCATTCCTAAGGAGGAGCCAAACTGTAACTACCAAATTAGGAATGCCAATGTATAATGTAAAAGGTATATGATTAATTGCTTAACTGAAGCAATAAAACAGCTACTACATAAGATTAAGGGATATCACGCAGGGAAAGAATGAACATCCTAACCTATTTCTAGGATGCTTAACAGTGACCCAGAAAAAAATTATTACCAGTCCAGACCCAGTAGAGAAACACCTCTGAGAGTATCTTTTACTAGCCAGTCAGTACCAGTTACCCATCGTAACCTGTGAGGTTGTCAATTACCAGGATTTAATAGAACAAAATAAAGATTAGTTGCAGATAAAGAGGTAAGCCCAATTAAGGTTAAATATAGGCTATAGATTAAAGTTCGCACTCTAAAGTAAAGATTCCTGGAGGAATAAACTGAGAAAACTACAGTAGGCTGATTATAGTAACCCAAAGGAAAAATGTTATGTGGAGAATCAGGACATTGGAAAACTGAATACACTAAGGGGCCATGTTATCAAAAGACATGCTGCCTCCGCCATAAATGGAAACACTGGAGAAAGAACTATCTCCGGAGAAGAGGGGATGGGGAGGTGGGAAGTAGAATCCACCTCCAACATGGCAATCTCTGCAGACTAAAAATACCCAAGAGGATCCCACTAATGGAACCCCAACTAGTCAACTCCTAGCATCCTATAAGGAACCCTGGATGTCTTGAGATGTGGCCAAAAGGTTTATTTTAATAGAAGAGCCCAATTTTTTGTCTTAACTGACTTCCCTACATTTCTTTCTCAGTGGAGCTGCACGGTAACCAGAGCTGATGAAACTGCCATGATCAAAAGATTTACTGCTCTAAGTTACAGATATGAAAATGTTATTTTCTCCCAAAATAAATCTTTCAAAAATTTCTTACTGTACCAAAATGCCTCATGTCAGGAAAAAAATTACTTTAGAAACAAATGTGTTTTTTATAAATTATTGTATGGAAAGATAATTTGAGATTGTTTCCTTCTTGGTTTTTACTAAAATAGTGCTACTAAGCATATTTTATTTTGATGAAGTTTTATCTAAATTCAAAAACCTGTGTTAAAATTACTTCAAATTGAACAAAAAGATAGGGACAGAAAAGAAAGATCTCATAGAAGAGATCTATCTTAAATAACCAGGTTGTGGGCCAAAAATATCAGCAGGCTCCAGGTCACACAGACCATCACTGGTCTTTGGCAAAGAGAGTTACCAATGCCGTAAGACTTTGCACCTAAACCAAAGTCTATCCCTAGAGTAAATTCTCTCAGTGTATCACATGACATTTGTGATACCAGCTGCTATGAGCTTCAAATATGCTGAGATACTGCCACTCTTCCAGCAGGGGCGGGGGGAGCAGGGGGGGTCTGTGGTATAAAAAAGTTGTTTGTCCATGGATCTCTTATTTACTTCTTTGGAGGGAAACCCTGAAAATTACACTTTTTCTAAGTAATTCTATTTCTACTAGTCAAAAAAAGGCTGTTTAACATGTAGACACTGTTAAGATTTACCAGGCTTGTGTAACAATGCAGAATTCCTACTGATTTAAAGTAAAACTTAAAATATCAGAATGGAAGGAGGTATGAGAGATCTCATCCAAACCTCTCATATATTAAATCCTGCAAGGGAAAGTGTTTGTGATTCAGAGTAAGGGAAGGATTAGAAAAACCAGATCTTTACGTAGCAGTATTTAACCTTTCCTCAATTTGCTGGATTTCTCTAGAACGTATATGAACGATTCAATATGTATAACTGATTCAATATGTTTATAACTGGTAAGTATTTTCTAAAAGCAAGTTTCTGACTAGTACATTAAAACATTTAGTCTGAAATGCAGTAGACTTTCAAAGGTAAAGCATATGGCACAAGGAAACATTACCTGAGAACATCATAACTGGCAAAGTCCCACTGGTAGAGACCAAGTGCTGAGCTACAGACAATGTATTTGCCATCAAAATGAAGCCTTGGCTGCAGGCAGATACTTCTATCCTCGGAGACAGACAATGTCTTTAAGCACTTGCAGTTGATTTCTCTCCCAATTGGCCAAATCTACAGGGGGGGGGGAAAGGTCATGTCACCACAGAAGACTAATCCTTTTTTTTTTTTTTGGTCCGGTTGTGGGGGCTGAACTCTGGGCCTGAGCACTGTCCCTCAGCTCTTCAGCTCAAGGCTAGCGCTCTACCACTTGAGCCACAGCGCAACTTCCGGCTTTTTTTCTTTTTGCTTATGAGGTGCTGAGGAATCGAACCCAGGGCCTCAGGCATGCAAGGCAAGCACTCTACCACTGAGCCAACTTCCCAGCCCCCCAGAAGACTAATCCTTAAACAACGTGCTTTTCAATAATAGTAATGATGCTTGAATTTGCTAAAGACAAAAAGTGAAATATGCAGCAAATACCTAGTTAAGAGTTATGGAATTAAATTCGGAGTCTCCTGTATAATGTTAAGGAAAATACTTTGCCTTTCTGAATCCTTGTTCTTGTAATGAAGACCAATGCCTACCACACAGTTTAAAAGATGAAATAAAAATGTACGAATTCGCCGGGTGTTGGTGGCTCATGTCTGTAATTCTAGCTACTTAGGAGGCTGAGATCTGAGGATCACGGTTCAAAGCCAGCCCGGGCAGGAGAGTCCGTGAGACTCTTATCTCCAATAAACCACTAGAAAGAAGTGGCACTGTGGCTCAAGCAATAGAGTGCTCGCCTTGAGCTGAAGAACACAGGGACAGCGTCCAAGCCCAGAGTTCAAGCCCCACAACTGACACAAAAAAAAAAGGATGAATTCATTGTATTAATTCTTTGCAAATTGTTAAAACAAATGAATGTTTTCATAGTTTAGATCTAAGACTTGAGGAAGGGAGGAGGCATGTGCTTTAAGAAAAGAGTAAGGGCTTATAATTCCAGCTACTTGGGAGGCAGACATAGGATAATGAAATTCAAGATCTGCTGGGAAGCCAGGCAATGGTGACTCACACCTATAATCCTAGCTACTCAGGAGGCTGAGATCTGAGGATCTCGGTTCAAAGCCAGTCTGGGCAGGAAAGTCCGTGAAACTCTTATCTCCAATAAACCACCAGAAAACCGGAAGTAGTGCTGTAGCTCAACTGGTAGAGTGCTAGCCTTGAGCTAAAGAGCTGAGGGACAGCGCTCAGGCCCAGAGTTCAAGCCCCATGTCTGACAAAAAAAGAAAAAAAATCTGCTGGGAAAAGTGGGCAAGACTAGCTTTCAAAAATCAAAAGAGATAGGGATGTAGCTTAAGTGGCAAAGCATTTGCCTGGGAAGCATAAGATGTCCTAGGTTCAATCCCCAGTACCATACCAAGAACAGAAAAAGGAAAAAAGGAGAGAAAGAGAGAGAGGAAGAGATCAAGAAAAAATAAGGAAAAGAAAGCAAAATACAGTAAAGCTTGGTGACACATCCCTATAACCTAAATACTTAGGAGACTAAAGCAGGAGGATCATGACTTTACGGCCCACCCTATACTACACAGCAAGAATCTGTCTCCAGCCAGGCACTGGTGGCTCATGCCTGTAATCCTAGCTACTGAGGAGGCTGAGATCTGAAGACTGCAGTTCAAAGCAAGCACAGGCAGGAAAGTCCCTGAGACTTTTATCTCCAATTTACCACCAGAAAACCAGAAGTGGCACTGTGGCTCAAGTGGCAAAGCATTCACCTTGAGCTCAGGGACAACGCCCTAGGTCCAGAGTTCAAGCCCCATGACCCACCAAAAAAAAAAAAAAAGAAAGAAAGAAAAAAGAATCTGTCTCCAAAACAGAAAGAATGAGAGAAATCTTTTTTTGTGGATTTCATTTGAAAAACAGGGTTAGAAACTGCATAGCACTTAGCCTTGGAATGTTTTTTAATATAATTTTATTATTATTAAGGTATTGTACAGAGGGGTTACCATTTCCTAAATCGGGTAATAAGTATGATTGTTTTTGGACAATGTCATCCCTTCCTTCCCTTTCCTCCAGTTTCCCCATCCCATCCCCACTCACAAAATGCACAGTTCATTTTCCACATAGTGTATACTGAGTACCATGACTACATTTTCTCACCCTTGCTTCTTCCACCTCTGGACCCTCCTCTATCCCCTTAAAAAGACAAAAAAAAAAAAAAAAGCAAAAACCAATACCACCACCAACAGCAAACCCTCTGCCTTTGTTATCCCTCTTCAATTTCCTTCTCTTGCCTGTTTTTCTTTAGTGAGACAATTAGTAGAGGAAAAAACTCACCTTGATTTCATATTTGTCTGCACTTAAAAGGATATAGTCTCCAGGGCTATGCAAGAGAGACTTGACTTTGCACTTCTGTAAAACCACCTGCAAATATGAAGATCTATGTTATACAAAAAGCTTTTCAACGCTGTTCCTACACAGATTTTATACTCATAACTGGACACAGAGTGCACACTTGTCATCCAAGCTATGTGGAAAGTTGAGAGGGGAAGGAACTGAGGTGTCAGGCCAGCATGAACAAAAAAGTCCAAGACACCATGCCATGCCCACTGAGGGAAGCTGGACATGGAGGCGTGTGTGCCTGTGATTACCCATTTGTACAATTAATGGTAAATGTTTTGTTTTGTTTTCAAGTAGGTGGATTGTGGCTTTGCTGAAAACACAGGTAGGAATTAAGACTCTATCCTAAAAATAGCCAGTGAAAAAAACAGGGCTGGAAGTGTGGTTCAAATGATAGATGCCAAAATGTCCTAAGTTTAAGACTTAGTCTTGAAACAGGGGAGGGGAGGGTAGAAGAGGGAAGAAGGGCAAGAGGGGGAAGAGGGAGGAAGAGGGAAGAGGGGAGGGGAAGGGAGAAGAGGGGAGGGAAAGGGAAAAGAGAAAGGAAGAGAGGGGAAGGGAGGGAGGAGGGGAGGAAAAGTGAGGAAGAGTTGAGCTAATATGAAATACTAGAATGACTAAGCTATAACTTTATTATCCTATTAACTCCTACCAAGATTTTTTTTTTTTTTTTTGCCAGTCTGGGGCCTGAACTCAGGGCCTGGGCACTGTCCCTCAGCATTTCAGCTTAAGGCTAGTGCCCTACCACTTAAGCTACAGCGCCACTTCTGGCTTTTTCTGCTTATGTGGTGCTGAGGAATCGAACCCAGGGCCTCATGCATGCAAGGCAAGCGCTTTACCACTGAGCCACCTTCCCAGCCCCTCCTACCAAGATTTCTGTTACAACTATTTCTACTATAAGTAGTATCTTGCCAGGTGTGATGACACACACCTGTAATCCCAAAACAGGAAGATTAAGGACAGCCTGAATTACTTATTGTAAGATCCTGTCTCAAAGTATAAATAAAGTAGGCTGGGAAGGTGGCTCAGTGGTAGAGTGCTTGCCTTGCATGCATGAGGCCCTGGGTTCAATTCTTCAGCACCACATAAGCAGAAAAAGCTGGAAGTGGCACTGTGGCTCAAGTGGTAGAGCGCTAGCCTTGAGCTGAAGAGCTGAGGGACAGTGACCATGCCCAGAGTTCAGGCCCCACGACTGACAAAAAAACAAGTATCTAACCAGACACTAGTGGCTCATGCCTAGCTACTCAGGAGGCTGAGATTTGAGGACTGTGGTTCAAAGCTAGCCCAGGCAGGAAAGTTCATGAGACTCTTATCTCCAATTAACCACCAGAAAACCAGAAGTGGTACTGTGGCTCAAGCAGTAGAGCACTCGCCTTGAGCTGAAGAGCTCAGGGACAGTGCCCAGGCTGAGTTCAAGCCCAAGACTGACAAAAAAATAAAGTATCTAAAGGTATCCAATGTTGGCTGTAATTAGTCTTATCTTTAGCCTGGAAGCAGACATTATACTTTAAAAATTAGAAATGTGACTTAACAGAAGAAAATACAAAGAAAAAATCCATAGGCAAATTAGTAAATGCAAATAACCACTTTTCAGAAATGTGCACTATAAAAAATATACAGTATATGTATATATGTGTGTGTGTATATATATATATCTGTTATGTATGTATAAATTATATAGGTAATTTTCCAACCCTTGACAAGACCATCATATCATTTACATCACACACACACACACACTTTGTTGCTGAAAATGGAACTGAGAGTTTCAAAACACATACTAAGCAAGAACTCTACAAATATACCTTCAGTTCTACCTGTATATTTCAGTTATCTTCTCTTACATAACCATGGTGAAGATGAAATAAAAATTCTAAGCAATAGTAATAATAATATTAACAGTAAGAGTAATGTAAAAGAAGCTAACATTCCACTGCATTTGGAATAATCCATGCATACTAGGTTTTAGGGTTTGTTTGAGAGGATTTGAATTTAGGACCTCATGCTTGTTACATAGGCACTGTAACAATGGCACTCCTCCAGCTCTTTTCTGTGCTTGCCTTTGTTGTTGTTGTTTGTTTGTTTTGGTCCGTTGTAGGGCTTGAACTCTAGGCCTGGACAAGATCCCTGAGCTCTTCAGCTCAAGGTAAGTGCTCTTACTACTTGAGCCACAGAGCCACTTCTGATTATCTGGTGTTTAATTAGAGGTAAGAGTCTCACAGACTTTCCTGCCCAGGCTGGTTTTAAACAGTGATACTCAGATCTCAGCCTCCTGAGTAGCTAGGATTACAGGTGTTTGCCCCCGGTGCCCAGCTTGTGCTTGTTATTTTTGAGATATGGTTCAGGTCCATACCTAGACCTTGATCTACTGACTTTATGCTTCTTGTAGTAGCTGGGATAACATGCATGCACCACTATGCTCAGCTCCTTCTACTGAAATGAAACTCTATGGAATTTTCTGCTGGCCTGGAACTATGATCACCTTGATTTTAGCCTCTAGCATAGCTGGGATGACAGGTGTGTGCCACTGCATGCAGCTACTAGCTAAGAAAGGATCTCCCATGTATATCCAGGCTGGCCTCACACTACAATTCTCTCAAACAGGTAGGCAGGAGCCACAGGTGCCTGGCTGGGCCTAGTCAGTTAAAATCAATCAATCAATCAATCAATCAGCATAAGGTAAGAAGAAAGGCAAGATTTACTTGTTCAGAAGCCTGGGTTGCAAATTCAACTGAGACCTGATAGTAAGCATCAGGCACTGGCTGGATGCTAGCCCAACATGTCACTTAATGATCATAAAATCCAGCAGGTGATAAACTCACGACTCTCTTTAGCCTCACCTATTTTAGAAGAAAGATCTAACTATCTACCCAATCTAAAACCTACCAGCTATCTGTGACTTTTTTTAAATCATTTTTAGTGTTTTTTTCTTTTGATTTTATTAATCTTACTCATTTTTTTAATGCGATACTAAGGAATCAAACTCAGGGCTTTATGCATGCTACTCAAGCACTGTACCACTACACCACATTCCCTGTCCCTATGATTCTTTATCCCCCATATAGAATGCTGCACACTATCATGGAATAGAGTGCATGTATCTATTCCACCGGCTGCACCACCATCTCTTACCACTGTAAGGTAGTATCTGCCATCATCCATTCCCACAAATGAAAAGCCTGACATCAGGAGGCTTCTTAAGTCTTCCTACCTTAGTGACCCATTCCGTGTGCCCGGTGAGTGTATTGAGGCATGTCCCAGCAGATAAAGCCCAAACTTTCACAGTGAAGTCTGCAGAGCCACTCACCAAGATATCCAGTTCATCATTGTAGTCCACGCTAAACACTAGTGCATATAACATACACAAAGTTAAAACACACCCTTCTGCCAGTGGATCTTTGTTTAACAAACGTTCAGCACTGTTTATCCTTCCTAGCTGCCTAATGGTTTAATTCCCTAACAAGAGTTACTATAATGGTGCTTGCTACTCAACCAGCAATATTATGATTTAAATTTTAAAAACCTATTTCAAAATTGTTATCATTATTAAAGCTTATTACTTTAAAGGTGGAAAGTTCCAAGAACAATACAACCTTAGCCTTTTACTTAGCCTATGTAGAAAAACAGAACATACATGACTTTATTCAGGTTTGTAATGATAGTAAGAGAAAAATGTGAAGAATTTTAAGCTTCAAAACAGGACTCTGTTAAGAAAAACCAATGTAAAGAGAAAAAGGGCAAACTAAGTTATTCATTCAATACAGTAATACCTAGCATTTAAACCTGTGCAGGTACAGTAGTAGAACATTCAGTATTTCTTTCTGTCTTTAAGTTCTAAAGGACACTGAGAACCTGGAGATGAAGATAGTAGTACTTCCTTTAAAGGAATTTAAGTCTGGGAAGAGAAGTCTAGAAAAAAAGTTTACCTCTTGCTAGGGAAACACCATGGAGAATGACTAAGTCTGCACAGGCCTATCAGGGAGGACTTCAGGGAAGAGGTGGTATTGGAAATAGGCCCTGAAGAACAAGCACTTTATATCAAGAAAAGAAAAAGAATTATGTTGGAAGAAGGAACAGGAAAAGCATGCATTTAAGAAAAGCCACCACAATGTCCAGGAAAGCAAATGGAACATTATTTTAGAACAGGATCTCCAACTTGACCAGGAAAAAAAAAATCATCTGGAAGTCATGGTATACCTTGACCCTGGGAAATGTAACAACCAGTTTAACATGTAAGTTCCATACTGAATCACACATCACCAAATATTGATTTCTAAAACATAGATTGAGTTGTAAAGGAGATAATAAAGACTGAAGAAAAATGTACAAAATAGGGGCTGGGAAGGTGGCTCAGTGGTAGAGCGCTTGCCTTGCATGCCTAAGGCCCTGGGTTCAATTCCTCAGCACCACATAAGCAAAAAGAAAAAAGCCGAAGTGGCGCTGTGGCTCAAGTGGTAGAGTGCTAGCCTTGAGCTGAAGAGCTGAGGGACAGCGCCTAGGCCCAGAGTTCAGGCCCCACGACTGGACCCCCCCCCCCAAAAAAAAAATGTACAAAATAAATAAAATGGGAAAACTGTTTTCAGTACTCCAAAAAAAAAAAAAAACCCAAACCCCACACAGGCGTATCTGAAAGAATTGCTGAGCACAGACACAGTGTAAGAGTGAACAAGACAGACTCTATCCTATGGAGGTGATCTGGTGGTGAGGTAAGGCTATCATGTGATCTGTCATTTAACAGCAATACAAACTTGGGAGAACCTACAGCAGAGAGCAAGTCTTGGAAGGCTACTCATAAATATGATGTCAAAGAGCACAGACTGTGACTCTTAGAGGCTAAAGCAGTACATAAATGGAGGAAGGAAAGAAGGCAGGCATACAAGATGCTGAGAGTAGCTCACTACACAGTCCCAAAAAGAAATGCAACAGGAGAAGCTCAAGGCTACCTTTAAAAGAATAGTTTTCTGTCCCCAAAGCTGCTATACATTTATTAGGAGACACTTAGGTATCAGTTTCATTTTATCTCTAGGTAGTTGTCTGTTAATCACCTCCAAACTGAGCTCTACCTAGACATAAAACAGTGGAGACCATATTCACTTCAAAGATGTTCAGCCCCAAATCTACGAAACAAATTTTGCTGAATTTTTGTTTATTTTATTCCCCCCCCCCCCCCCATTTTGCTGAATTTCTAAGTATAGGATTTAAGTCATTTTGGAAGGATGGAATCTGACAAAATCAGATGAACTGACTGCTTACCAGGATATAAACTAACTAGGAGAGGAAAAACCACCACTCTCAGCTTAAAGGTACACAGATATTTTTCAATGGGCTAAGGAAAAGCAAAATTGTGAACAACATTCCAAATGAGAAGGAGAGAATGGCAGATCAATTAAGGGGGTAAGGGGGCTGACATACTTGGTTTCTAGTTTTAAAGCGATAGGCTAAAGCTATTGTAAAAACCCTTGGTAAAGAGTAACCCACCCGCCCCCGTGTGCCCTCGGAAGTGCTGGGTCCTGGCTCCGGAACTCCATTCCCAGCAGGCCACAGTGTTGTCAAAGGAGCCTGTCACAAGCTTCTGCTCATCGAACTTCACTGCTGCACATGTGTGGGTCTGGATGCCATAAACACACTGCCCTGTGCTCACATCCCACAGCTTTGCAGACAAGTCATCTGACCCTTTAAAAGAAAAGCAGGGGAGTTATTAATGAAACACACCCTGAATAAGGAAAATCAATCCCCAAAACACAGTATTCTCAAAAAAGACCCTCAGGGTCACCTTCTCTAGTATTCCCATTTTAATGATGAGAAAACCAATACATGGAGATAATATAAGTTGCTTAGTCACCAAAATTCTGTCAAGTGCACTAGGATAGGATCACAAAATCGAAGCTTTTAAGTTTCAGATTTTCCCATTAATTCTCCAGGTGATGAAAAAGAGATTAAAGCATCCCTTGGTGCATTCATTGAAGAATTCCATGAATCTGTGGGTAGTATGAGTTTTTGGATCTGAGTTTGAAATGGCTGGGTGCTACCTATGACTGTATGCTTGTTTACTACCCAACAGTTCTAAATACATAAGGAAAGTTGGCTAGTAAAGCTGTTTGCTGGAACACAATCTAAGGCAAGTCAAAGATAGAGTCAGAACTGGGTACAAGTGGCTCATCCCTGTAATCCCAGCTACTCGGGAGGCTGAGATCTGGGTATCACACAGTTTTGCAGTCCAGACAGTAAAGTCCCTGAGAATCTTATTTCCAATTAAGCATAAAAAAAAAAAAAAAAAAAGGCTAGAACTGGGAGTTATAGCTCAAGTGGTACAGCATTAGCCCAGCAAAAAAAAGGAAGAAACTCAGAAGCAGTGCCCAGGCCATGAGTTCAAGCCCCAGGATTGGTGAAAGAAGGAGAGAGGGAAGGGGAGGAGGGATGGAGAGGGGAGGGGAGTGGGGGGGGGGGGGGCGCGGGAGATGACTAGCTCAGACCACTAGCTAAATTCTACAAAAAACAAACTGGTCTTCTCTTGCGTGGTCTTGAAATAATGTGAAGAAACCTCAAAGAAAACCAGTGATAAATCACAGCAAGCATTCAAATGAACTCCTCACAAACTTTTTATAAAGCTCCTTAAAATTCTGTAGGAAAAAAATAGAAAGTTTTTTCCCTGTCTCTAATGCAATGTCATATTAATCATGGTGACAATTTGAGACTCTGGTCTAATTAAATTTAGAGTCCTAATGGTTAACTCTTTTCCGACAATTTACTTTTAATTTAAAGACTCAACAAAAAGATACTTTGAGAAGACATTAAATATAGTCATAATGACCAGGACATAGTATTGTAAGAAACCACCCAATAACCAGTTTTAAAAAGGCTGAAATGACTAAATTAAACCAACCACAACTCCACCATTAGTCAAAAGCCACTGTTTCTTTTTTTGGTGGGTCATGGGGTTTGAACTCAGGGCCTGGGTGCTGTCTGAGCTTTTTAACTCAAGGCTAGCAGTTTACTACTTTAAGCCACAGCATCACTTCCAGTTTTCTGGTAGTTAATTGGAGATAATAGTCTCACAAACTTTCCTGCCTGGGTTGGCTTTGAACTGCAATCCTCAGATCTCAGCCTCCTGAGTAGCTAGGAAATAAGCATGAGCCACAGCACCTGGTTTAAAGCCACTGGTTTTTGTTTTGTCTTGTTTTTCTGTCGGTCATGGGGCTTGAACTCTGGGCCTAGGAGCTGTCTCTCAGCTCTTCAGCTCAAGGTGAGCACTGTACCACTTGAGCCACAACACCACTTGCGGTTTTATGAGTGGTTTATTGGAGATAAGAGTCTCACAGACTTTCCTGCCCAAGCTGGCTTTGAACTGTGATCCTTAGATCTCAGCCTCCTGAGTAGCTAGGATTATAGGCATGAGCCACCAGTGCCTGGCAAAGCCACTGTTTTTTGACAATGGAAAATAACTATCACTATGAACAATGAGAGCATGACTTTGACATGGGCAGACTCACTGAGGGAACAGAAAAATGATGGCTATATTTGTTGTCAAACCACTATTTAAGTTTGTTTCCTTCTCTAAAATGAGGGGTAGGGCTTGGTTGATGGTTTTCAACGGGCATGTGAGACATTAGAATTATCCAGGCAGCTTCAGGAACATACACAAACAATGGCTGGGGATACAGCTCAGTAGTTAGAGCACTTGTCTATCATGCATGAAGCTCTTGGTTCCATCCTTAATGCTGCAAAAGTGAACAAACAAGCATCATACATAAACAGGGGCATTATCCAGAAATTCCAGTTTAGAATTCTTGAGGTAAAGTGCAATAATCTTAAAAGTTAGTCAGGTAATTCTAACATATCAGCAATATTTGGGGATTCAAAGGTCTACAACAGTATTATCTAACAAAAATGAAGATGTAAATACATATACCATTCCAAAATGTCCTAAAAGTCACTTAGAAAAAAAAAACACATTAAAAATAATTTAACTCAGTATTTATGTGTGCTTGTGCGTGCGTGCGTGCGTGCGTGCGTGTGTGTGTACACCAGTCCTGGGGTTCACACTCAGGGTCTGAGTGCTATTCCTGAGCTTTTGTGTCCAAAATCAGCCACAGCTCAACTTCAGCTTTCTTGGTAGTTAACTGGAGATAAGGAGTATCATGGGCTTTCCTGTTCGGGCTGGCTTCAAAGCATAATCTTCAGATCTCAGCCTCTTGAATAGCTAGGATTACAGGTAAAAGCCACCAGCTCCTGGCTAACTCAGTTTTTTTGACAAAATATTAAAGCTTTATTTAACATATTAACTTACTGATGAAAATTATAAATGAATTATTTTATATTCTGTAAAATTTTTAGTTTTTTAATTCTGGTATTTCAATTTCACATCTCAATTTGAACTAGCCATAGCTCAAGAACTCAAAACAGGGCTTGTGGCTACTGTGCTGGACAGCACAGATTTAAAGACCTTTTGCTTGTATGTTTCTTAACTATATTCTTAAAGAGCTATTGTAGGAAAATAAATCACTGTAGGTCATATAAGAGCTTGGTTCTAACCTACTGCCAGTGTTCAATTGGAGTTTTATTCATTTATTCAACATACATGTATAGAACTTCTGTGCCAAGCAGCGCTACTGCTCTCATGGCAAAAAATAAAGACAAGAAAAGCTAGCTGGGCACTAGTGGCTCACACCTGTAATCCTAGCTACTCAGGAAGCTGAGATCTGAGGATCACAGTTCAAAGCAAGCCCAGGCAAGAAGGTCCATGAGACTCTTATCTCTAATTAATCACAGAAAAAGCTGGAAGCGGCACTATGACTCAAGTGCTAGAGCACTTGCCTCGAGCAAAAGGAGCCCAGCGACAACGCCCAGACCCAGAGTTCAAGCCCTACTACCAGCAGGAAAAAAAAAAAAGCTAATAGTAATAATTCAGTACAGTCACTGGTGGATAGACTAAAGGCAATACTAGAGGATAAAAAGAAAGTTTCTCAGATGAGCTCCTGCTGCACATGTCAGTGGTCTACAAACATGCCTCAGATGATGGTATGACAGGCTCCTCAACTATATTCCTCTTTTATTTTAGCTTAAGCTCAGCTTCAACATGTTTAAACAAATGACTTCATGGCTTAAAAAAAAAAAAAAAAAAAAAGCCTTGAAAGTTGGGCACCAGTGCTCATATCTTTTTTATCTCAGTTACTCAGGAGCCGAGATCTAGAGAATCACAATTAAAGCTGACCTGGGTAGACAAGCCCAGAAGACTCCATCTCCAAACTAACAAAAGACTAGACTGAAGGCATGGCTCAAGTCATAGAGGGCATGCCTTGAGCTTGAACCCCAGCTACCCTACCACCACCACACACAAAAGAACCTTTGATTCTAACTCATTAAAATCCATATAATCAGTTAACCAGGCAAAGAAATAAAAAATAAATGGTATATGCTATTTATTTTATATTAGTAAAACTTCTCCTATAGAAAATTATATAGAAAATATTTAAGGTTTTGTTAACCAGTCTGTTACAATCAGTCTTCTGGAGGATATGGCCCACATTCAGTGGTTTGCCAACTCCAGGCATACACATCTAGTGGTGTAGTATTAAGCATCTCTCTATTACATACACATATATGAATAGGCACTCAAGCCAATTTATAAACAACTATTGGACTATTGGGAGCCATTCTTAGTGTACATTACCTGTTAAAATGCATTGCTTAAACATGGACCCAAGAAAGAAAGAAAGAAAGAGAGAGGGGGGGGGAGGGAGGGAGAGAGGAAGGGAGGGGGAAGGGAGGGATGGAGAAAGAGAGGGAAAGAGAGAGGAAGGGGGGGGAAGGAGGATGGGAAGGAAGGAAAGGGGGAGGGCGGGAGGGAGAAAGAGAAAGAAGGCAGTCAGGCAGGCAGGAAGGAGGGAAGGAAGGAAAAGGAAAAGGAAAGCTCAGTGTGACCAGAAAATGGTAGCAAGGCAAGCTGCCATTAAAGCCAGGAAGATGTTTAACTATGATGTTATCTGAAGTTGGGGAAAACTGGATGTAGCAGGAACAAAAAAAAAAATCCTAAAGGCTAGAAGGCTAAAGAAAGAGGACAAACAAAATGTGGTCTAGAGCTACAATGGAGTATTATTAGGAAAAACCTCAAAGACATTGTGCTAAGTGAAATAAGTCAATCAGAAAAGAAGAAATATTTTACTTGTGTGAGGTACCTAAATAATCACATTCATAGACAGCTGACTGGAAGAAATGAGAAGTAGATAATTAGCATTTAGCTGATATGGTTTCAGTTTGAGAAAATGGAAATAATTCTGGAAATGGTGGTAGTGACGTGCTTAATGGCACAGAACTGTACATTTTAAAATGATTAAAAAGGGGTTTAGAAGTATGGCTCAGGTAGAGTGCTTGCTTAGCCTGTCAAGTGTTGCCCTGGGTTCCATCCCCAACACTGGTTGGATGGGTGGGTGGATGGATGGATGAATGGATAGATGGATGAATGGATGGATGAGTGGATGGATGGATGGAGAGAGACAGACAATTCATTTTCAACCCAGTGTCTGGTGAGTACCACTGCTGCATATGTTCACCCTTTATCTCATCATTTCTGTGTCCCCTTACCCTCAAATACAAATAAATGAACAAACAAGACAAAAAGAAAAAAACAGCAATGAAGAAAAAAACTTTGTGTCCATTTTCTAGAATTCATTTCA